TAGAGTGTTCACCTTACCTAAAGTTGTCTGGTCATTCTAATAACTGTTTTGTCTTTATGAATGAATGAGAGATGTAATACCATGGATGTAATAACTTCATCTATAGCTATCGATCTATACAATTATACTAAACATAGAGTTTTCCGGTTAAATAGTGACTGATGATTAACAAGTTATGGTTATGAAATGAAAGATAAAAAAAACTGATTAAATGGTTGTAACTATATGTTGTTGTTTGTTTTTTCTGCAGTAGTACAGAGACAAAATAAAACAAATTGGTTTAATGGGAAGACATGAACTAACAAAGCTAGATATGAAGCTAGAAGTAGGTGGAGATGAAGAGTATAAATAATCTCAGAGTTTTCAAATAATCATCAGTTTTTCTTTTCATCTACTTGAAAAACTTCAATAACTGATTTACAGGTGTTATTTATTCAACAGTTTCATGAAAGGAATATCATAGATGTAACTATCAAAGCTACAACGATAGAATAATTGACATAACTAAGCCTATTCTAGAATTTATACTGTAGAGCAGTAAACCTTTATAGTTCAGTGATTATTAAATGCTGGGTCATTGTAAATATTCCACTTTGTCCCCCCCCCTTCACTCCTCGCCCCCAATTATGTAGACAGATAAAGATTTCAGTGTTTAAAAGGCTCATGTTGATATAGATTTGGTGAGTTACTTTAATGTTGAACCACCGATTCTCTGTCAAATGAAAAATGTTTACTAAGCATCAACTAGATTTTCTTTCTTTACTGAGTCTAAACACGTATCCAGGATCCGAATATATTCTGATAAATAAATATTGATTCAAGAAAACAGTTAAGATGTTTACATGTTTGTAGATGTTGAAGAAACATGGACAAAATTCGGTCAACACTCAATACTGGACAATATGAAATCGGTTGCTGCTGCGGTGACTAGTCAATGTATATAATACAGTCATATAGGAGGTCAGTCGTTGCTCAAATAGCTCACTGGTAGCATCCTGACTACAACAGTAGGTGATGCCAGGGGACAACAGTCTTCTTGAGGCTGCCTATGTGCCCTTCTGAATAACGACAACAAGCGCGGATGGTGTGTCGAGCAGGTTTTATTGCCGACTGGTTCCAACCAACTAACACTATCTAACTACTTTCTGTTTAACTCAAGAAAGCGGAAGTAAATAAACCCTAAGGTGAATGTACATTTTTCGATGAGATGGGAAGTCAACTGATAAAATGAAAACTATATATGGATATAATGCTCGATCTGAAGACAAGAGTAGACAAGGTTATCTACCACCACCGGTCATCTTCCTAATTGTGGTCGACTGGACTAGAATCGATCATGCACGAGACTGTTAGGAAGGAGAAGAGGGGCATGCGCTCTTTCACAGATGGAAAGACTATAGAAGATTTAGATTTTGCCTATCATGATTTCTGTTTAATGTCGCACAAACCTGAAGATCTACAGACAAAAACCAATAAGTTGGCAGAAGAGGCAGTGAAGGGGTAGCGAAAACGGACTTCCTTCAGGTGAACGTAGAGAAGAAGACATAGGTGATGAAGATACCCAACCAACAAGAACAACAGCAGCGGGAGAAATCTAAACGAAGTTGACTCTTTCGTCTACCTACCTAGAGAGAGAGCATCGTCTCAACTACCCTCGGCAGCGGCGGCAGAGAAGACAATGTCAAAGCCAGAGGCAGAAAGATAACAAGATACGCCTCAATTAACCTGAAATCATTGTGAAGATATACTGTACTGCATTGTACTGCAATGCACTCAGCATAAACAACAAAATCCGAATTTTCAACACTAAGTCAGTCACTCAAGTCAGTGCTTCTATGTGATGATGGTTGAGAGACTTGACACCTTAAGAAAACCATTTCCTTCCAAGAAACTACAGACATACGTGAACGGCTGCCACCTACTCTCGCTCCATACTGAAGATAAGATGAGATGAGAAGGTGATAGGGAAGGAGGAAGTGTGGCGTGGCAACCAACCAACCAACAAAGCAACAGGCTATCACCCAACAAATATGCAGAAGAAGAGAGTGAAGATGGATTGGATTGGACATGCTCCAGTCCGTCGAGTGGAACCAAAGTTGGAAACAAGGAGTTGGGTTTACGAGGGTGACATAGTGAAGATGGTATGAAGAAGAAACGAAAGGTTACAGGTAGTCGTGGAGCCAGGTTAAAAAAACTGTAGAGAAGAGAATGAAATTGTGACGTGTTACTGAAGCCGTGTGTTAAACTAGGAACCCAGTGGACAAATAATAATGCTCAATCACTACAGGTATGTGTAAAGTATTGTTTTGTTAGTAATGACACCGGTGCTGCAAATCGTTTACTTAGGTGTTTGCAGTTTGTTTTGTGTAAAAATTGTGATCATGAAAAAGAAATCTTGGTGCTAGAATCACAAAAACTATATTAGTTTGGGTATAGTTTTTCGATAACCTAAGCAATAGTTTTTTTAATTTTATCTATTCTCAATGCAATAAAAACTGTTCTAATAGGTCGAACTGAAATGTTGACACTTCGAAGCTAATTGATAAGGGAAGAAATGATAAAAATCCATGAGGTAAACCTTAATCTAGTGAAACAATGGACTGCCTCTCTACATCGTAGTATATAACGTCTTCATAGAAACCTGATTCAATCAGTGTTTTAAGGGTGTGTAAATGATAAGTTACCACAATGGATCGCTTCCATATATGTCTATCATTTCACAGTCTCCCATGGAACGATTAACACAGATCGCATAAAGTGTGTTCTATTCAAACACATCTTCAAACCCTAACTTTTATGGTTATCTAGAGGAGAGTACAAAGTAATTAACAGTTCATTTCTTAATCGTCTGAGTAACTGTGGTCATGTTACCTTCAAAGTTAAAGTAAACAATTCCAAGGGACTGAGGGCTTGCTACTAACACATACTAGAAATGTTAGCAATTTTTGACTTCAAATCTCATTTCTATGTTCAAAAAAGTACCTTCAATCTCTAATTTTATCCTAATCAGCAAGGATATTCACAAAGCGAGCGTTATCGATTTCACCAGATAGACATACCACACTAAAAATCAGATCAACTTCATCTCGATGTGAAGAAAGTGAAGACGCAGTCTGCTGGACACAAGATGGAGAAGGGGAGCAGATGTGGAGTCGCATCATCAGACTATCTTGTACAAGGAACTTCACTTCACAAACCAGTTGAAAGCCTTCAAAGAAGTTGGTGATAGACCACATTTCAGGTTGAACACCCAGAACAGAAATGAACTGAAGAACGAAACTACAAAGTATGTGTTCACGTCAGTCAGTCATCAGGAAAAAAGGAAAGAGATTAAGCAAGATCCCTGAAGAAACCTGGGTGGAAGAACGTTGGGACTGTGCGAAAGCGACGTAGAAGGAAACCTGCATAACTGTGTTAGGAAGGAAGAAGACAAGGACAAGGCAACGAGTGGATCTCCACACACATATGGAAGGTGATAGAGAAGGGAGAGACTGATGGTGAAGCAGAAGATGAACCAGTGCAGCACATGGATGAACGACGAAAAGATCAGATGGCCAGAAAGAATAGGCAACAAGGGACTCTGGTAAGGAACCAATAAATAACCTGTGGTTCGAGAAATATATAGAAGAAAGTGGAGACAGATGGGAAATACACTGAGAAGACTGTTTGTGGACATCATACGCCAGGCCATCGAGTGGAAGGTAAGTGGGAAACGAGGAATTTGGTGTCCCAGAGTAACATGAAGGAGACTGGATGAGGATAAAATGAAAGTTTATGGGTAGTCATGGAGCGATGTCGCAAAGACTGCAAAGAAGAGAGTATAATGGTGACGTACTAATGAAGCCCTATATTCCGCTAGAAACCCAAAGGACAAATAATAATAATGATAATAATGGCAAAAAGTTAGTATTCGGTTTTCTTTTTCTACTAGAAAACATCTGAAACACTTTAAACACTAATACAAACAATAAATTACTTTTTTTTCACTTCCTATTTCAAAACAATTTCTAAAAGAAAACAGCATAATTTTACTTTTATACTACTTGAAATAGATAAGTAGTAAATAGGAAATTTTACTCTTTAAGGATAAAAAATCATCATTTTATACTATTTCCCCATCATATAACTTTATAATATAATGAATAAACTTTTAAATTATTGATCATTCATTGATTAATGAATGACCTTGTATCTTTAAATAATTAAAACAAATTCAATTCAAGTGAATATAGAGAAGACAGAGGTGATAAAGATACCCAATGAACAGCACCACCAACAACAGCAAGCTGCAATCACCATGAACGGGAGAAACTTAAAGGAAGTAACCTCCTTCACCTATCTAGGCAGGCAGCACTGTTTCAACTACAGGTGGCACAGACGGGGATGTCAAAGTCAGAATCGAAAAAGCAACACAAGCTTCCATTACCCTGAAACCAGTATCGAGATCTTCTGCACTCAGCATAACGCATAAACAAGATCTGGATTTTCAACACCAATTCAGTCAAGTCAGTGCTTCTGTGTGATGGTTCAGAGACTTGGTGTGTTGCGAAAGGTATTTCCAACAAATTACAGACATTCATCAACAATTGCCACCTACTCTGGCTCGTTACTGAAGATCAGATGGCCACAAAGAATAAGCAACAAGGAACTCTAGGAACGAACCAATCAAGAACCCATCACTCAACAAATATGCACTGGAAGGTAGTGGAGATGCATTGGGCATATACTGAGAAGGCTGGCCGGGGACACCACGCTCCAAGCCAGGCCGTCGAGTGGAACTTAGATGGGAAACGAAGAGTTGGTCGTCCCAGTTGAGGGTGACATGGAGGGGATCGTGTGAGGAAGAAATGAGAGTTTGTAGGCTGTCGTGGAGCCAGGTTCAAAAGACGATTTCAGAGAACAGAGTCCACTGGAGATGTGCTACTGAAGCCCTATATTCCACTAGGAAGGAACTCAAGGGATAAATAATCAATAAATAATTCAATTCAATATTCACTTACATTAATTGTTGCCTTTGTATTACCTTTGAATTGTTTAATATCAGTGAATTCAACAAATATATATGAAATTGACCATGTAAACGCTTTAATTATTAATGCTATGAATAAATGTGAATGAATTGTATTACGCATACACTTTAATGATCTAAAAATTGAGATAAAAATATCGAAAAGAGAAAAAGGAGAAAGAAAAATTAAGAAACTGAACCATTGAACACAGTTATTAATTTAAACAATAACAACAACCAATATTTACTGGTTCAATGTTCAATATACATGTGGAGTGAAATGTATATTTTAGTTAGTAATCTGTAAATCACCCGGAAATATTATTATTATTTTGATATATATATATATATATATATATATATATATATATATATATATATATATCATGAGCTAACAGAAGTTGGAAATACAGAGCTCTGGATTCTAACCCAGTGGCTAGCTTAGTGGTGATGTGCTGGTCACAGAACCTGAAGGTAGCCGGTTCGATCCCTGTGGGGTGCAGGGTCGTGGGTGCACACTGATGAGCAGTTCCATACTAGGACAAAACAGCCAGCTGTCCAGTGCTCCCAGGTTTCCTTTATTCCTCCAACTGATGTCAGTCATCTACGATGAATAACAACTTGAAATATATATAAAGCCTATTTTTGGCGGATAATTATCAAATAAAATTTATCTATACTGATTAATCAGTAGAGTTTTCAACATCAATATCAAGTCAGTGATGCTATGTGGTTCAGAGACTTGGCGTGTCAAGAAAAGCATTTCAAACAAACTACAGTCATTCATCAACAGCTACCACCTATGCTCACTTCATACTGAAGATCACATGGCCATAATAATAAGAATAAGCAAGGAGGAAGTGTAGCCTGGAAACGAACCAACCAAGAACCTGTCACCCAACAAATATGCACTGGAGGAAAGTGGAGACCGACTGGGGACATCACGCGCCAGGCCAGGCCGTTGAGTGGAATCAAAAGGGAAACGATTAGTTGGGCGTCGGAGGCGAGGGTGACATGGAGGAGATTGTGTGAGGAAAAAATGAAAGCTTGTAGGCAGTCGTGCAACGAGGTTGAAAAGATTGCAGAGAACAGAGTGGAATGGAGGCGTGCTAGTGAAGCCCTTTGTTCCACTAGGAACCCAAGGGAATAATAATAATAATAACAATAAAAAAAGCATTTTAAAGAGGACTAGTTTTCTGTCGTGGCTTGTCTGACAGTAGGGAATAAAATGGTTGATTATGTTGACCACTTCGCTTACTTGGGAAGTAGGATTAGCATTGGTGGTTTAGTAACCAAGTAACTCTCTTCAGGAATACGAGAGATTCGATTGGCTTTCACTAACTTACGCCATTTGTGATACCGCCGCGATATGTGATTGCCTATTAAGATTTGAGTGAACTATATCACAGTTCACTCTGTTCTACTGTATGTCTGTAAAACATAGCCACTAGATGTTGAGGACATGAGAAGTCTTCACTTGTTCAACCACCGTTAGTTTCGTAGCATAGGCCATGTGTTGTAGCATCACCGTGTTAGTAATGCAGAAGTCCGTTTTAGGAAAGAAAGAAAAGTCAGTTGATGAGGTTGTATATCTTCATTGACTCAGATGGCTAGAATGTGTGCTAAACATACATAGTCACTGTCTATCTCGTTACACTATATTAGCTGAAGTATTTCCAAGCTGGCAAAAAAGGCTCGGAGTGGAAAGCTCAAAACATGATATTATTGCATAAAGTCATTGATTATTAGTGTGGACCATGTAGGGAGATGTAGACTTCCTGGTTGGGATCCAGGTGAAAAAAGAAACCAATGGTTGGAGACTGTAGGTGACAAAGCTCAGAATAGATCTCAATGGTAGAGATGTACCCATACATTAACATCATACTGTTCACCATATGGAATTCAGTATTCACTTACTCCTTTTTCCTAGTTTTTTTTACTACTTTCTAATACTTTTGATCAACTCTTCTGTATTTCTTCATCTTTCAACTTGGTGTATTTTTGTTTGATATACTAATATGAGTTGTAACAAGTTGAACCGCTATTCAGTAGTATCTGGTCCTATGTTGATGTTGATGAAGTACATTCCATGTGTCGCCAGTATATTTTATGAGTCTTTTCAACCTACTATCAAAACTATGCATCGACTTTATGAAAACAACTAACTATCACAGCATTCCGACAAAAGCAAACATACACATATATACATACATACAAACATAATGAGTTAAGAATAGTTCTGAATAATAATTATAGGCAAAGTTAAAAAGTATAGAATGGGAGGAGTCGAGCCAGTGCCCAACGGGTTACTGACACCACCTTCGAACTATTGAGCCATGAAGTGAAATATTTATACACTTACACAACCCATTTGTAAATGAATTCAGTGAGAAAATGTTTTGTTTACCGAAAAATTTGCTCTCTGAATTAGTGATTGCATTTGTATATACCTAGAAGGCATAAATAAAGCGTCAATAGACGGCATATAATACAACGTCAGGTAAAAGTGACACTATACAAGTGGGCACACTTCTGGACAACAGGAAACTACTGGAGAGAGTTATTGATGAGATGTATTTTTAATGTGAGATCTAGTTTCGGTGGTGAGACATGCCATCAAAATGATGGGATTGCAATAGGATCCCCACTACGACCTCTAATGACAGATTGTCTCATGTCAGAACTAGAAATTTCTTTTCTTAGCCAACCTATTGAGCATTTTGACATCTATAAATGATATATGAATGATAAATTCGTTATATGCAACTCAAATATCGATCTAGATGACATCCCAGCTGAGTTTAACAATCGTCACTCAGCGTTGGAATTCACTATTGGGAAGGAATTAGAATCAGCTATACCTTTCCTTGACGTGTTGATTACGAGTAGTAGCAATCGAACACTGAAAAGATCCATGTACAGGAAACCCATATGGAATGGACAGCTTGCTAATTTCTATAACTGGGTACCGATCATGAGGAAGAGAAACGTCATTCACTCACTCTGCTATCGATTACACAGACTGTGTCCAAGTTGAATTTGACTTTCTAAGATAGACACTCACGGAAAACGGGTATTCTAGCCAATTTAGCGATACGAATATGCGAAAACAACATGAGAAATCAGTCATCAGTTCAGTTTCTATCGAGAACCTGTTCATGCATCTGAACTTCAAAGTTGATGCAGCATCAGATATCCTGAAAAATTGTCTTTCCAGATCAGTCAGTAGGACTTTGTTCCCATCCAAACTTCACTTGATCTTTACCAGTTGTAAATTTTCTTCGTTTGTATAAAAGAGAATATCCCTTAACAGGACATATCCATGTGTATCCACCAGTTCACCTGTGGAGCAAGCTACATCGGTAGTAATCGGAGATTGCTGTCAACACGTATATGAGAACATATTCCAGTGTGGTTTTATAAGTGTGAAAGGAAATGCATCAGAAGTTCCCTCCTTGAGCAGTTAATCGATTCCAACCATTCAACCGACCACTGACAATGATTTTAAAGTTGTCTATTGAATTCGCTCAAATATCTCACATTTCTTCCATGTTCAGCTTTTAAAAACAGCCAGGACAGGCCTTGGCTATCCATGAACTGAAGTCATCCTGACACTTGTGTGTAAAGGAAGTATGTACAGTGTAGTCTTTGTCTCTACGTTGGCCTTAATTTATTCTAGTGTTGGTGTGCTTCGTTCCCTTTCTTCCTTTTTCATATATATATATATATATATATATATATATATATATATATATATATATATATGAATGTACAGCTTGAGAATAAATTCGTTGGAAATGGGTCCTCCTCACCACTAAAGACAAAATCATAAAGTACGTAGATCGTTTTATAAAGTCAAATGAAGTGTCCGCATATGTTTTGTGACTTCTTTTTACTATTCGACTCACTCCCGAAAACGATCGTAATGAAACTTGTGAATGCTTGATTCATGATCAGTGCAAGAATTATCCAACAACAACTCAATCTCACATCACAATAACATCGTGTTATATTATTGGCCTTGTTCAGGCTATCATTCCTATGTCCATTCATGTATAACCATACGGTTTCCGTATATGCTCGCCTTGCCTTACCTCGCCTCGCCTTGCCTTGCCTGGACATCAGTCACTCATGTGGGTGTAGAAGTGAAGAAACTGTATGAATATTTCTCAAACATCTATCAACCAGCCCCCCCATTAAATCTTCCTCATGGATTACACTCTTCAAATATCATATATGTATAGATGAATGTACAGGTTGAGAATAAATTCATTGAAAATCGGTCCTTCTCTTCACTGATTATCTACCTTGTTTTTGATATCACAAAATGGTAAATATGAATGTAACATTAAAAGTACTATTACTTACTTGAAAATATAGAAAATGATAAGGGCCAAACATAGACATGCAATCGATACAGAATATCCCATAAGAAATATACACCGTAATGTCATTGTCAAATCCTAAATAATTTTTGATAAAAAGAAACAGGAAACAAAAAAACAGATTAAAAGTTTTTATTTTCATTGTTCATTAACTAATATGTATTCTGAGAAGGTATTAATCAACATGGAATCTTAAAATGTATTGCGTTTTCTCTAAGACGTAAGTAAGCTTGACATTCACATAAGAGTGATGAATAGAACTGAATACCTTCTAGGATTTGTGCATTTTTTTAAATGAGCACCATGTTTAATTCAGTCAATCCGCCAATAGATATCTCTTGTCAGCAACTGGTATCAGAGTGAGTTAAGGGCAAGTTGCTGCTTTCGATTATGTCAATGTGTGTCAACAAAATAACTTCCTCCTACTAAACTAGTCATCTGGGCTGCATAAAGTGTACACTTTCCAAACGTATCTCTCAGCACTACTATCCTGTATAGTTGTCGAGGGGAGAATATAAATCGATTAACAGTTCAATTCTTGAATATTTGGTCAACTCTAGACATATACAGCTTAAGTAGAATCCTCCTTCAGTGTCATTTATAGAGTCAAATGGAATAGTTCAAAAGGAGTACACCTTCGACAGTGTTACGCACAGTAGAAGCACTGACAGTTCATTAATTTAAACCTAATCTCTGTATGAAAAAGAAGTATATTCATTCTCATATCTTACCATAGTCTTAACACTTTCACCATCCTTTTTCGATTTCATTATAATTAATTAGTTTACTGTTATTATCACCTTCACATTATGACCCTTGTCTCATTCTTCTGCTGTCAAGTGCACACTGAATATTCGTATTTCTTATCTACTAATAATTTTCACCTTGTTAAACTCCTTGCCTTACTCGTTATTTCTACTGTCTTAGATTATTACTCAACTACTCTCCATTCTTGATTTCGGTTTTTTTAGCACCAGGTTAATGATACATTATAATCTATTGTTTAGTAATAGACTGTGATATGTTTATGATATATATAAATACGATTGTACAGTTTTAGAAGAAGGATATCGTCGAGAAAGAAAATTTTCTTCGCTGAATTATCTCTTCTCTATGACACAATGGGCATGTTTCGTAGAAATGAAGAGATAAATTTAGTGAGGAAAGTCCCTTCTTGTTCGACGTTATCCTTCTTATAAACATATAATAGTCTGTTATTAAACAATACAGTATAATTGTATCATTAACCTAGTACTAAAAAACTGGAATCAAGAATGAAGAGTAGTTGAGTAATAATCTATTAGACAGTACAAATAACGAAGAGATGACAAGGAGTTTGACAAGATGAAAACTTATGGTAGATAAGGCATCCACTTCACATCTGACTGGTTGACCCACAGGTCACGGCTTCTCATTAGAGCTTCGTGATATCCATCTGGAAGCAAGCCACTAGTGAGCACAATAGAGTAATGTATTTTTGAGGTGAATAGGGATTTTTTTCTTAATCTAAAAGATCCTCATTCATCTTAAAAATACAATAATTTTATTATCTGTTAACAGGAAGAACTAAAAAATCGGCAAACAAGGATACATCTACTACCATTATATTCACTGATAATTATGATTCCCAATTTTTATGCTGGATCCAATTTGGTCAACCTCTGTTCACACATAAACTTCTATGTGGAGGCCTCGATACTAACTGAATAGTATGTATATTATGTTAGTACTAAAAAACTGGAATCAAGAATGAAGAGTAGTTGAGTAATAATCTTGTAGATAGTAGAAATAACGAAGAGATGACAAGGAGTTTGACAAGATGAAAACTTATGGTAGATAAGACATGTGAATATTGAGTGTTAAGACCATGGTAAGATAGAGAATGAATATACTTCTTTTTCATACAGAGATCAGGTTTAAATTAATCAACTGTCAGTGCTTCTACTGTGCGTAACACTGTCGAAGGTGTACTCCTTTTGAACTATTCCATTTGACTCTATAAATGACACTGAAGGAGGATTCTACTTAAGCTGTATATGTCTAGAGTTGACCAAATATTCAAGAAATGAACTGTTAATCGATTTATATTCTCCCCTCGACAACTATACAGGATAGTAGTGCTGAGAGATACGTTTGGAAAGTGTACACTTTATGCAGCCCAGATGACTAGTTTAGTAGGAGGAAGTTATTTTGTTGACACACATTGACATAATCGAAAGCAGCAACTTGCCCTTAACTCACTCTGATACTAGTTGCTGACAAGAGAAGCTGATCTGTAGCTTTGCAGAGAAGAATGCCTTCTTGAGTGATCTGGAAAGCTGTTTATTCAGGATCTCTCCTACTGTATCGCCTATGAAACCAACGTTCATAAACAAAGTCTTCTTAGGAATTGCGAGTACTTGCTTCGTATTCTGTTTTAATCTCAAGTTCTTCTCAATAAATCTAGATGGGTAACCTTTTTTTTGTCAAATTCATCGTCGACAAATTTCATCAATCGTGCGGATTCTTCTGATTCGTGAAGATAAAGAATGAATCAGATTCCTGTTCCCGCTAAGAGGCATCCAACTATGGATTGTATTGTCCATTCCATTTAGGCTTCCTATAAATCGAACCATTTGGTTTCCGTTTCAGTTAGACATCATGAAGATGGAATTCTGAGTTCTCTTTGAATTCTGATGTGAAGTTGATCGATAGATGGCAATCATTGAACTTTTTAACTACAGTCTCTATATTTGTATCTTGATCACATATGATGAATGTGTCATCTATATATCTTTTATACAAGTAGAAACTATCAGTTGTTGTATGAAGTACACTGTTCTCTATGTTCGTCAAAAAGCAATTAGCCAGCAACGGTCCAAGTGGTGACCCCATAGCTACCGCATCCTTTTGTATATATAGATCAAGATTGAATTTGAACTGCACATTGAAAGCACACCTCAGAAGTAATTCTTCTAAGTGGTGCTTCAGGATACTCACGTGAAAAGTAACATCTTCGATGAAATTACACAGAAAACAGATAGCTCCTGTGATTGGAATAATGGTGAAGAACGAGACCATATCCAGAGAAATCATTCGGTTACCGGATATATATTGACATTAAATTTTTGAGGGGGTTGTGGAGATTTGAAAATATTTCAAGTTGTTATTCATCGTAGACTGACATCAGTTGGAGGAACAAAGGAGACCTGGGAGCACTGGACAGCTGTTTCATCCTAGTATGTGACTCCTGAGCGGTGCGCACCCACCACCCCACCGGCAGGGATCGAGCCCGCGACCTTCAGGTTCCGTGGCCAGCACGTTACCATTTAGCCACTGGGTCAGAATCCAATGCTCCATATTTCCAACTTCTCTTAGCTCACGATATAGCGCAAACCGCCACCCAATGTCATCGTTGAGTATTTGTCCACCTTCCTTTGTCCCTCCAACTGATGTCAGTCTTCGATGAATAACAACTTGAAATACTTCCAAATCTCCACAACCCCCTCAAAATTTAATTGAACTAGTGCTCCTTGGTGACTAGCTTCGAGAAGTATTCCCGAAGTTCCAATGACAAGTCGTGACCGGTGGAGTCAAAGCCTGATGGCCGTGAGGACAAATACTCAACGATGACATTGGGTGGCGGTTTGTGCTATATCGTGAGCTAAGAGAAGTTGGAAATATGGAGCATGGGATTCTGACCCCAGTGGCTGGCTCAGTGGTGATGTGCTGGCCACAGAACCTGAAGGTCGGGGGTTCTATCGCTGATGGTGCGGGCCGTGGGTGCGCACTGCTCAGGAGTCCCATACTAGTCGAACGAATCAGCTGTCCAGTGCTCCCAGGTTTCGTTTGTTCCTCCAACTGTTGTCAGTCTTCGATGAATAACAACTTGATATATTGACATTATTAATTGAGTTGACAAAGCTGAAGGAATCCAATAAGCAATGCGTATTTAGCTATTTTCTGACTGATTGGAGCACGTCCGATGGCCACTTCGCGATACAATGGTATAGTGAATTGTTCATGTTAACAATTTGCACCAAGAGAAAGATCTTTTTGTGTACTTTCGGGAGACCCTATAAGTGAGGAGTAAGCTAAGCAGAAGGTCGTAACTGTTCGAATACTTCAGGGCTGATGATAAACTCATTCTTCATTTTCTGCCGAATCAAGGTGAGCTTTCGTTTAGTTTGTTCAACGGCGTCATTTTGAGCAGACTCTTTAGGAAATTTACTCATATCTGATAAGACAGACACCATTTCAGTGTTCTATTCCAAATGATCCATAAGGACAATACCAGCGCCTTTATCACGATGAACTAGTTCTCTTCCTTTGTTGTCCCCTCCCAGTTTGGCATTCATGTCACCCATTGGAATTTTGATGTCGACAACTAAGGTGTTGTCCAGTGTTGATTCCAGTTGTCTGTAAAATTCCTCCTCTTTCTCTTACTCTGCATTATTTGTAGGTGTGTAGAAAAACATTGTTTGGTTGTGACTTTCCTTCCTTTTGAGTTGAACCTTGCTTTCTTGATCTTGGAGGAGATTGGTTCCCACTGTATGAGAGCCTTCGATGCTGTTGGGGACATCATGATAGCCACTCCCTCACTGTGCTCATGGTTGTCGTCTGGGTGACAACATCGGAGTAGATTATTGATTCTCCAGTTGACAGTTTGGAGAGTCCACTCCCATTCCATCTGTTTTCACAAATTCCTAGCACTCCAATGTCATACCTTCTCATCTCCTTTGCAATCTGCACAGCTTTGATAGCTTCATACATCGTGCGGACATTCCATGTTCACATTCTCACTTTCGCTTTCATAGAGCGAGAGAAGATATATCGGCTAATTGGCTTCCCGAAGACTTTCACCAACTGGTGTCATTTCGTCTCCCCGATTACAGAGAGGGATAAGTTTTTTATTTTTTATATTTTGTTTGTGGTTGTGGTTGGATTGGTTTTACGGTGTAGGGTTGGTAGCCTTATACCCAGCCTTTCGTCTTTGTGTGGGCTTAAGACGTGCTAGTAACTAGTGAACTAGTTAACCAGGTGAGGTTGGATGAACTAGTAGCAAATCTTTATTTTTCAAGATTTCACACAGTTGCTCT